GCTCAGTTTGCTCCTTTGCCATTCCAGGATAACAGTCACTTCAGATTTCGTGTTATGGTAGACAGGCTTCATGTTACCGGGTTGGAGAATAAAAGGTTGAAGTATATGGATAACAGTTGTGTACTATTGTGCAAGGAATTTACTTTTTAATAATAAAGTTATTAAAATAGAATTTTTGTTTGCTGTTTATTTTTGTACTAAAGTAGAAGCCTATAGCAAATTCTCCAATAGAGAATTTGGAAGTAGCATTTGAAAGAGCTGTATGAACATCCTCACAAGAACTAGTCGAGGTATTAATCTTAAACAGAAGCACCTCTTTCTCTGATAGCAAAGAAAGAAAGAAAGAAAGAAAGAAAGAAAGAAAGAAAGAAAGAAAGAGAGAGAGAGAGAGAGAGAAGGGTAGTTGTAAGAGTTGTTATTTATTTTTTCATAGGTTTGGAAGAGAGGAGTTCAGAGAGTTCAAAACCAAATTTCCCTGTGAGGTAGGGAAGTATATATAGAGAGAAGGGAGGCAAAGAATTGGAAAAAACTAAGATGCCCTGAGATAAATTGCCTTATACTGAAGGCACATTTCTGAGAAATTGGTTTGAACCCAACTATATCTTAATTTTAAACTTTACATGGAGGAATCATATCTGTAATCTTTGAACTACTAGAACTTGGTAGCTGTCAGGGGCTCAGAAAATCCTGATTAAATATTGCAAAATAAAACTTCAGGGCTGCGGAGATAGCACAGTAGAATAAGCACTTGCCTGGCAAGTGCAGGGTCCTGAGTTCAATCCCCAGTACCACAAAAAAACAAAAAACAAAAAACTTCACAATGAGTTTTAAGTTTGAATTCTGGTTTTAGTTAAAGTAGTAGAAGTGAACCGGTGCAGGGGTGAGATTTCCTGCACTGCACCACTCACAGTAAAGCTGTCCTCAGCAGCTCCTTCCTTGCCCCCTACTTTCCTTGGCTTGTAAAGGAAAGCCTCAGAGGCGTACAGATCATGCTTGAGTTTCTCCTCACGATGCCTCTCCTCACCTGGGCCGGGGCTATGGTTTAGCAGCACCAGTGCCTGCCTCGCAAGCACAAGGTCATAAATGGAGGGAAAAAAGATACCATCACCTATTCACATTTTAGATTTTACTATCCTCAACAGCGTGGCAACGTAAGGTACTCTCAGAATTTACATAAGGAGAATGTAAAAGATACTTGACTGAGATAATTTCAATCTCATTTTAGTTCAGACTTTCTGTTTAAAAAAACAAAAATCTTTCAGTTTAATTTGTTCTTTAATCTTGGGATTTTTACAATAGATACCTGATGTATAAGAAAATATTGCTTGAGTATTTTTAGATTATTTTTGCCACCAAAACTGTCTTCAAATTAAATAGTATGTGCATTATTGTTTAAATTTAGTAGAATAATTGCCAGAATCTGGAAAAAGACATAAAGTAGTAAACTTTTAGAAAGAGTAACAGCACGAGCCTCTTTTCTGTTATAATTGAAAATCAAAAGTAACATTAAGATTAGATTTTTAAGTATATATATATATATATGTATGTATGTATATGTAGAAATGAGTGTTATATCTCTCCCAGAGGTTTTAAATTTTAACTGAAAGATAATCTAATTGTTAGCAGATTTAGTTTTTGCATTCAATTTTGTGTTTGGGCAGTGAAGTTTCTAACATGAAAATTAAGGCACTCCTAGAGAACTAATGTTTGCATATTTTGCATAAAGCTGCTTATACCCCTAAAGAATAGGCAAAATGGTTTGGTAATAAACTTGGCAGAAATTCTAAGTAGTTTGTTTTTTCCTTTTAAGAATTCCACTCATGCTTTATGCTTTAGCTTTCTCCAATATGGAGGTATTAAACTGACTTGGGCAGACTGTGGTTTTTACATGAAGCAAGCCTAGTGTGTTGTGAAAAAAGTGTAGATTGGCATAGGGGAGACTATCTTAGCCAACCTTTCTGTTGTTGTAAAATTATTAAGCAATTCTTTTCCACAGCATATATTTCAAAAATAGATATTGCTTCACTCTATTTAATGGCCATTATTATTTTTATTTCTCTAAATGAATTGATACATATATGTAAGCTGACTTTAAAAATGTTTGAAGTTGTAATTCAAAAATCAATACTAATAATGATAATTGACAGTTATCTCAAACCTTGGAAATTGAGTTATCTGCTCTGTTGGATTCCTACTAATCATTTCATGGACATTTGAATAATCTCCAAAGAAAGTTGTCAAGAAAAAACAGAATTGTAAAAATGCTTAAGAACATGTAACTGTAATTCCTTTTCCAAACAATATCTTATTTAATAAGACTGGCAAGTCTTTCTGTTTGAGTAGAGACATTTAAGTATCCTTTTCTAGCTTTGCTGGTATTTTTTTGTGTCTTAGCATATGTACATTGCTGAAAAGAAAGACTACAAGAGGCATAGCATGAGGGGGCACAGTCCAGAACCATATATAAGATACAGATATAGATTCATATTGCCTGCATATACCTGCTTGTTTACACCAGATTTTAAAGTATATTGTCTGACACAGAGGAAAAAAATTGCCCAGATTACAGATGTGAGACTGATAACTTTTTTAAAAAAGTGAATTAGTTAAATGATAAATATGGCCTTTTGTATTTAGTACTTGGATTTAAAAGCACAGAAGTCTGATTTACCAACTCATAATCATCATACATTGTACATAACTACCTTCTAGAAATGTTAACAATAATACTCTAATACTTATATAACACTGTATGGTACTTGATGGGTTACCTTTGCCTATATAATCTATTTAATAACTTCTCTCTCCCTCTCCCTCCCTCTCTTCTGTCCTTCTGTCTTTTCTTCCCTATCTCCCTTAACTCTTCCTCTTTCTCTTCTGCTTCCTCTCTTCCTCCCTCCCACCTCTGTCTCTCCCTCTCCCTCTCCTGTCTGTCTGTCCGTCCCTCCCTCCCTTCCTTCCTTCCTCCCTCCCTCCCTCTCTTCCTCTGTTCTGTCTCCCTCCCTCCCTCCTTCCCTATTCCTACTCCCAGTGCTGGGAATCAAAGCCAGCAGGCAAGGCCACCAACACTGAATCATACCCATGGCCCTGTGTAATCTGTTTCTTAACATGTTATTTAGTGCTTGAAAGTGAAATTGTAACTAGCACTTGATAATGCTAGTTCATCTTTATTTGCATATTCTCTGTGTAGCATAGATACTGCTTTTCTCTTCATTTAAAGATGGTTAGTGAATCTTAAAGGTATTGATTTCAGTGTTACAGAAACACTGTATTAATGCAATCAACATTAATTTTGTTCAGCATTTAATAATGGATCCTGAGAAGTTTTTAAGCTGGATGATATTTTAGCACTAATGTGATACATAATCAGGTCTAACACTTTTAAAATTATTCTGTTTTATAAAATGATACCACAACAGTTTATGTACTTAGAACTCTGTGAGTATGTGATCTTAAATGATCTACTTAATCTTTTCTACTGAATCTTCTGAAAGCTCCTTTCTCCCAAAGAAAAAGGTAGTGTAAGATGCACTGCTTACTACTACTGTTGAAAGAAAGGAACACGCACAAACCTGTAAGTAATGAATCAGATAAGGGATATGCAATCCCAACCCAAGTACTGCTCTAAACAGAGCATTAATAAGGAGTTTTTAAATACTAATGCAATGGAAGTACTCTGTGGAGTTTTAATTATAAAAACAAAAAGGAAAAGGAAAAGGACTATTTCCTTTTTTTTTTTTTTAAGACAGGGTCTTACTGTGTAGTTCACTCTGACCTTGAACTCATTATGTATCCCAGGCTGGCCTTAAAATCTCAGAGATCATCCTAAAGCTCTACCTCCTGAGTGCTGTGATTACAGGTATATGCCACCACACCTGGCAGGAAAGGAACTATTTTCATGTGCTAATTATGTGCCATAAATTTACCATTTTGTTTCGTGAATTCACTGGTTACATATGTACAGTGAATTTCAAAAATTAGGCTATTTTAAGTTTTCAAAAATAATCACATTTTATGATTTTTAAAATTAAGAGTGAATGTTTTATTAATAATGAACAGAGTAGATTTTTCCTGAAATTAACTCTTAACTTTCAAGAACTTAATAATTTTCAAACTTTTTAGTGAAATGTTTTTTTTTTCAGTAGCTGTATTTAAAATGTACTTGTTATATATTGCAGTGTTGTGTGGCCATCGTACTCAGGCAGTCATAGTGTGTTGTAAACCATTACATGTACTTATACAAATTCTGCTATATCTTTTTTTTTTTTACAATCTTGCTGGGTTTTTTTTTTTTTTTTAATATATTTAGTACAGGGTCTACAGGATCTCACTATATAGATCAGATTCCTGTTTTCAGCCTCCCAAGCACTGGGATTACAGGCATGTACCACCAGGCCGTCTCTTTCGCCCTCTCAGCATGCCAGGGATCCAAACCCTGGCGCCTGCGTCTGCCTAAGCAGTCACTGTAGTCCGATGAGTTATCTGGCCGACCCAATCATGCTGTTTTTAAACAGTCTGAAGAATAACATTTTTAACACAATGGAAACTATTTCACATGGCAAGTTAGTATATGTCACCATGATTTATATAAACAGGTATGGGTGTTTTCTATGCAGTCTTTAAAAAGGAAGTACCTGCTTATTCACTAAAATTTCAGAGAACTGTGGGTGTGAAGCATTTTAATTCTTCCTTAATTAAAAGCAGTTTTATTTTTTAATTTTTTGCAGAATTTAGGACCACTCTTAAATTATTGTCAATTCCATGATAACTTGTAAAAGGCTAATTTATTGCCATATACTTTAGCTGTCATTACCACTATATTCCTTCTTTGATAAGAAAAATATTCTATCTTATACTATAAAACATAGCCATATAAATCATGATTCCTTTTGACCTATCATACACCCTAGTTTAAATAGTAAGCAAACATTTTTCATCCATATTTTGCATCAGTAGCCCAGGAAATTACATTGCACTCTGATTTGCCTTTTCTATTGCAGGCCAACAAAAATCTCAGGCTTACTTCATCAGCTCCATCCTCCTCTCAGCGCTGTAGGTTACGACAGTCAAACCTGCTGACCGCTGATGAGATGCCGCATTGGTTTGGTTTCACTCAGCCTGGTGAGCCCCTTTCTTGGTCTAACTATTCTTTTAAGTTTTCAGCTGCTGCTTTTTCTGATGAATATATTTATTTCTCAGGAATAAAAATTCATAGCATTCTAATTGCCAGCTTTTAAGTTTTCAAAAATAATCATAAACAGTTCATGTGATTATTTGATTATAATTATATAATTATTCAAAAATAATCATAATGAATTTAATCATCTCATTTTTTCCTTGAAGTCACAAACATTACTCAAAATGTAAACAGTAAGCTTAGATTTGGGCACATTAGCAGTGGATACTCAGGACCTGTGCTCTGTTAAATAGATAACTTACAAGTCAAAAAAAGGTTTTTTTGTTTTGTTTGTTTGTTT